AGGCTGCGCATCGTTTTTAATCAAGAGACCATCCACAATGCGTCAGCTGTTGCGTAATAGTTTACAAAAAGAAACATTTCGAATTCTTAACTACTTAATAGCTTTACGAATTTTTCTGTCTAAACTCATTCAAGGAATCAACACTTTAAATTATTTTTACAAAACTTAAGTCACTCGCTGTGTAGATAGTTGTATATATTGAGATGAATCAAATAGGGGCATAAAATAAATAAGATAGATAGAACACAAATTCAATTAGAAGACAATAAATATATATTAATAAAATGAAGAAATAACCACTATTATTATTATTATAAAATAGCAAGATAAAATGGAAACAAATATTTTATTGTATAATAAAATACAATTCATATAAAGATATAAAATTTCACAGAAAACTTGTAAATTTCAGCATAAAATATAGATAAAATCCGTGAAATGTAATTTGGAATTGTAAATTACAGATTTTAAAGCAAATTAAAAGTAAATTGGTCCACATGATTAGAATGATAAAAACAGTTAATGTAAATTTAATACAAAAAGGGAACCTGGAAAATACAACATGAAAACTAATTCACAATTTTAAGTTTTTATCCAACACTTGTTTATAATGATACTATAATTTCTTTGCTTCTAAAGGAATAATGTGGCTTATAAATCACTAGTGAGTGATAAGTCATAAGTTTTGACTTATAACCCACTAGTGACTTATAGAAATCATAAAGAGACAAATGGTTTATTTTTCTAGTTTTTATTAGAAAACCAGTTTGAAACGGTAATAAATCAACAAATAACCTAAAAAGCTACAAATTTACAATCTACCTACTTATTAATATTAACGTTAACATTTATGGTAAAGGATTATTGGAATCATTTTGTAATTGTGGTAAATTTATAGAACAGGTTACCCTTTTGCTTGTGCTTCTTCAGGAGTCTGCACCCCTTGTATCTTTTTAGCAATATTAAATCTGCTGGAAATTGACTCTTCTATATAACCTTCTGCCACGGTAGATGACTTCCATCCACCGTGGCACCTTGATTTATGAAAATCTGGCTCCAGATGTGTGATTAATGAAGGTGAGATCAACCAGCAATCCTTATGTTGCCAAATTTTACTGAAATCGGTGGATTTCAAAAAAGTACACCCGCCATATTGGATCAGCCATCTTGAATTTTTACAATGTGAATTCATATTGGTAATCAGCGACCCAATAAACCCCTTTATACAAAATCAAAAACCACACGTTCTAGCTCAATTCTGACAGTGGATTTGAATTCAGCAGTCTTTTAAATAAAAATGTACTATTTGATGTGGAAATAAATTTTTTTCAAAATTTTCCCAGTAAATTTTCATCAATTTTCACTATTTTTCACAAGTTTTTTGAGATAAGGAAAAAATTGTGACGTGATGGGCCAATTCTGACCCCAGATTCGTGTTCAGAAGGCCAAATTACTACGAAAAATATATGTCGCATAAAAAGTATACCCAAACTTTTTTTTTCTGTGTGGCTGTGGAATTAGTAAAATTGAATAAATGTCGTGTTGTTAACTTTTCAAATTTGATTATGTAAAATATATTTTTAATATGTATATACAACAAGATTCTATTTAAACTAAACTTCACTATATTGTTAAATTTTCAAATAATTGAAATATTTTGTTTGAATTGGACCAATCCGTCCCTATCAAAAGTCTATCATTCCATAACTTTCTAACATAATGTGACATATCCGCATTTTCAACATTAAAAGCAGACTCCTTATTCACTATTAGTAAATAGTCTTTAAATCAATTTTCATTCAGATGAAAAATATGTTTTATTGTCGATGTAAATTCGAATATAAACACAAACAAGAATTTTTAAGAGTAAATCAAATACACCTATGGTCTGACACAAGAACAAAATCTTGACGAAATGGAGTATGAATCAGATTATTCTATTATATTTGTGCATCCTTTTCTTTTTTTTTTCAAGTAAATATGTAAACTAACCAAGTGCTGTTTATTATAATAAGCTGCAGAAGATATGTCACGGAAATAGAAAAAAAAAAACAAATTTTTTAAAAATATTTCAAGTAACAATGTGATTTGTGGTCTGAAAAGGACTCCTATCAATAAAACTTAGAAATGTCGAAATGAAAAGTCGGTTTGAATTTCAATAAACCATTGATAAAACAATTTTTTAAGTACAGCATATTTCCTAACCTTTTTTTATATGTGTTTGTTACTGATTTGTACTACTTACAACAGATAAGACTTAATTGACGTATCACTAGCTCCACTAGTTGAAACTTACTGATTTTAGTTTTGCATACAGTAAATTTATATATAATTTTTGTTGTGACGTCCACCTTTCTAGTAGAATCTAGAGTACTTTGATAAATAAATAGGGAACATTTTCATTGTATGCATTCAATTATAAAATACCATAAGATGATTCATCATCGGTGAAGTGTATTAATACTTAACAGATACAGTATAGGACGTAAAACCATTATCATCTGCCCAAAAAGTATTAATTGATTCTATTACAGATCCATTTAAAAGATAGAGGCTTGAGTGTTAAGTGTTCTTTTTGAAGATATCTACAGTCTGTAAAAAATTTAAAGTATGTAGGTAACTACACAGATATAAAGCCACTTGAGAGATTAGTCGCTTATTATATTTGTTGTAAGATATAATCACACTTAAAGCAAATAAAGAGTGTTCTGATAATACAGTGCCTTCATACATGTCCGAGTCCCACGTGACCGCGCGACCGTTAGGCAACCAAACTTACAATGGAGTCAGTGATTAACAAAAAATTCAAAAATTCCCGAAAAACGAAAAATGAGTCCAGTGGTGTACACTACAAATTCTTTACAAATATTGAACTTTAATTTGAAAAATTTTTTACATTCTATCTATCTTTAATTAATTATCTATTATGACCAGTATCATAACGAGTCTGGATTTCAAACGAGTTTACTATTTAATTATCGAAAGGGAGTTTATAATTATCATTATACTTTAATTAATACGTGGGAACTTAGAAATGTTGTATGTTCAGAGAATGAATTTCAGGCACTTACCCTCTATTACTTACGTAGAACGTAATCCAGTGGCTGGCTATACAGGGTGACACTGAAGTTGAGAGAAACAAAAAGAAACACCAAAACTTCCGGGAAGGGTTTTAATAACAATAAACAAAACAAACAAACAAAATAACAACATAACGGCTCGAACAACATTATTAATTTATTTATTTACAAGCGACAGAGTACCGAGATTCAGGGAATGCGCGCTGCATAGCAAAATTTGGAAAAACTTTATCCATTATTAAATTTAATTAACTTGCCCAAGACTCTAAAACTAAGTCGACTGCTCAATGTGGAACATAAGGAAGAACTGTCTTTTTCGAGATCTTTCCTGAATTCGACACCTCGCTTCGACACGCCCATCTCTTGGGTCCAGATGTTTCTGTTCTTAGCTTACTGGCGGGAACCCTAAATATCGGGACCTTTTGGCATAACTATGCCATGTTAATAATTATCTAAATAATTTTGAGACTAAACTTACAAATAACCCTAGTCTTCCTCTAGTGACTCCGCACAGCAATACGGGACGGATTATTCAACCTTATTTACTCTATCCTTATAGCTTGGAAAATCCGTCTAAAAACCAGCTATTTCTTTTCCTCACAATATTCTAACAACTTATTCTTAGAATTCCTATGTTCTTTGGAATGCATTTCGCGCGTTATTGTAAATATCGTTTTTTCTCTTTATACCTGCTTAACACATGGCACCGACAGTTTAAGTCAGGGATGCACATACCGCGGCACGCGGGCCGCATGCGGCCCGCCAACGAATTTNTTTTTTGTCAGCGGTTATTTAGTTAAAAAATAAATAAATAAAACAAAAATAAAATTGAACGCCCTGTATCTTAGAAACAAAGCGTTTTAGGACCCATATATATAGGAACTTTTAGACTCAAAATGAGGTCTTCTACTGATTCCTGAAGTCCTGCTATTTAAATGTGAGACACCCTGTATATAGGAACTTTTAGACTCAAAATGAGGTCTTCTACTGATTCCTGAAGTCCTGCTATTTAAATGTGAGACACCCTGTATATATAAATTATAAAAATGAGTCTTGCTACTGAAAACAATTTAGAAAATTGTTCTGAAGACATTTTAAACGCAACTCGGGAAGCATTTTCGAGCTTACTTCCTTTAAAATCCAAGGAAAAATATCAGGTATATGAAATATTTTATATGTGGAGGATGACGAAAAACGCACTAAGAACTGATGAAAGTGTAATGCTAGAGTATTTTTTTGAGATATTTTATACATATTTTAGTGTTTTTATGCAACGTCCCATATAACTTATAACTTGGTTATAACTCTACATGATACCAAAACCAAAAAGAAACGTGTATTTATCGTAGGATCAGAGTGATAGTGGATATGAAATATATCAGACCCAAACAGATAAAACACAATAGATTCTTCATTTAACTATAATCACGGTAGGTGCACAATACAACCAGTTGGCATCAACAGTTTTGCAAAAATTCCCCAAAGAGTTACAGCATAGTTAAAACTTCCAGATGCATCCAATTACATTGGCTATTGCTTAAGGGGGACGTCTGCCACCTTCCTCGCTCACAGTGCAGCTGATATTCAAAGACTTAAAAGACATGGAGGATGGCAGTCAACTAGTGCGTCTGATCGATGAAAGCATCGTCAATGAGTAGAAGAACTAGTAGAATTGAATAATTTTTTTCAAATTTGATTATGTAATTGTACTTTAAATATATACAACAAGCTTTTGTTTAAAGTAAATTTCAATATATTGCTAAATTTTCAAATAATTAAAATATTTTTTTTAATTGGACCAATCCGTCTCTATCTATCAAAAGTCTATGATTCCATCACTTTCTAACATAATGTGACATATCCGCATTTTCAACATTAAAAGCAGACTCCTTATTCACTATTAGTAAATAGTCTTTAAATCAATTTTCATTCAGATGAAAAATATGTTTTATTGTCGATGTAAATTCGAATATAAACACAAACAAGAATTTTTAAGAGTAAATCAAATACACCTATGGTCTGACACAAGAACAAAATCTTGACGAAATGGAGTATGAATCAGATTATTCTATTATATTTGTGCATCCTTTTCTTTTTTTTTTCAAGTAAATATGTAAACTAACCAAGTGCTGTTTATTATAATAAGCTGCAGAAGATATGTCACGGAAATAGAAAAAAAAAAACAAATTTTTTAAAAATATTTCAAGTAACAATGTGATTTGTGGTCTGAAAAGGACTCCTATCAATAAAACTTAGAAATGTCGAAATAAAAAGTCGGTTTGAATTTCAATAAACCATTGATAAATCAATTTTTTAAGTACAGCATATTTCCTAACCNTTTTTTGTCAGCGGTTATTTAGTTAAAAAATAAATAAATAAAACAAAAATAAAATTGAACGCCCTGTATCTTAGAAACAAAGCGTTTTAGGACCCATATATATAGGAACTTTTAGACTCAAAATGAGGTCTTCTACTGATTCCTGAAGTCCTGCTATTTAAATGTGAGACACCCTGTATATAGGAACTTTTAGACTCAAAATGAGGTCTTCTACTGATTCCTGAAGTCCTGCTATTTAAATGTGAGACACCCTGTATATATAAATTATAAAAATGAGTCTTGCTACTGAAAACAATTTAGAAAATTGTTCTGAAGACATTTTAAACGCAACTCGGGAAGCATTTTCGAGCTTACTTCCTTTAAAATCCAAGGAAAAATATCAGGTATATGAAATATTTTATATGTGGAGGATGACGAAAAACGCACTAAGAACTGATGAAAGTGTAATGCTAGAGTATTTTTTTGAGATATTTTATACATATTTTAGTGTTTTTATGCAACGTCCCATATAACTTATAACTTGGTTATAACTCTACATGATACCAAAACCAAAAAGAAACGTGTATTTATCGTAGGATCAGAGTGATAGTGGATATGAAATATATCAGACCCAAACAGATAAAACACAATAGATTCTTCATTTAACTATAATCACGGTAGGTGCACAATACAACCAGTTGGCATCAACAGTTTTGCAAAAATTCCCCAAAGAGTTACAGCATAGTTAAAACTTCCAGATGCATCCAATTACATTGGCTATTGCTTAAGGGGGACGTCTGCCACCTTCCTCGCTCACAGTGCAGCTGATATTCAAAGACTTAAAAGACATGGAGGATGGCAGTCAACTAGTGCGTCTGATCGAAGAAAGCATCGTCAATGAGTAGAAGAACTAGTAGAATTGAATAATTTTTTTTCAAATTTGATTATGTAATTGTATTTTTAATATATACAACAAGCTTTTGTTTAAAGTAAATTTCACTATATTGCTAAATTTTCAAATAATTAAAATATTCCGTCACTTTCTAACATAATGTGACATATCTTGACGAAATGGAGTCTGAATCAGATTCTTCAATTATATTTGTGCATTTTTTTATTTTTCTTAAGTAAATATGTAAAGTAACCAAATGCTCTTTATTGTAATAAGCAGAAGAAGATATGTCACGGAAATAGAAAAAGACCAAACTTTTTAAAAATATTTCATGTAGCAATGTGATTTTTAGAACAAATTCTTCATTTGAAAGTGGCCTGAAAAGGACTCATGCCAATAAAACTTTAATCTAACTTAGAAATGTCGAAAACTAAATTCATGGCTTTTGAGAAATAAAGATTTAAAACCATGAAAAATCGATTTGAATTTCAATAAACTATTGCTAGATCAATTTTTTAAGTTCGACATATTTTCTAACTGTATTTGTTACTGATTTGTACTACTTACAACAGATAAGACTTAATTGACGTATCACTAGTTCCACTAGTTGAAACTTACTGATTTTAGTTTTGCATACAGTAAATTTATATATGATTTTTGTTGTGACGTCCACCTTTCTAGTAGAATCTAGAGTACTTTGATAAACAAATAGGAACATTTTCATTGTATGCATTCAATTATAAAATACCATAAGATAATTCATCGGTATTAATACTTAACAGATACAGTATAGGACGTAAAACCATTATCATCTGCCCAAAAAGTATTAATTGATTCTATTACATATCCATTTAAAGGATAGAGGCTTGAGTGTTAAGTGTTCTTTTTGAAGATATCTACAGTCTGTAAAAAATTGAAAGTGTATAGGTAACTATACAGATATGAAGCCACTTGAGAGATTAGTCACCTATTATATTTGTTGGAAGATATAATCACACTTAAAGCAAATAAAAAGTGTTC